CCTTCTAAGTAAGCATATACTTAAGGCTCTTATGATCCGTGAAGATATAAAATTTCTCTCTGAATAAGTAGTGCCTCAAAATCTTCAATGCGAAACCACTACGGCAAACTCCAAATCATGGATAAGATAGTTTCATTCGTAAGGCTTGAGCTGACGAGATGCATAGGCCACAACTTTCCCTTATAACATCAATACACATCCTAAACCATTTAGTGATACATCAATAAATACAGTGAAGTCTTTACCCGATTCTAGTTTTTTCAAAACACGAGTTACACTATGAACTCGGGGATAATCTCTAATGAAGTGATCCAAGGCCCTACAATTAAAACAACCTCTCGTCGCTTGGTAACATTCTCCAAGGTGCCTTATACCACAAGCTGAGCATACTGGATGATCTGGTGACCTATTTGATCTACTGATGCTAGATCCAGAATCCAACGATAAGTGTCTCCTGCGAGAGTCATACATACCTCTACTGTCCCATCTTTGAGCTGCCCCTCTAGATATCCCTGATGGCGGTCTCCCTGAACTCTCAGGGCCCCTGAACCACTTAGTTGATGACTGAGATACCCTAGAAGTCTTAGGAGACCTCTGACTCTGATCCACAGAGTCACTCACCACTTGAGCTTTCTTGAGTAAAATTCTCTCGACTGTCTTTACCTGACGAGTCATCTCTACAAAAATACAAGATGGATCGGCTACCAACTGAGTTTGAATATCCAAGTGGAGGCCTTCCCTGAACCTTTGACAATGATGAGCCTCGTTTATATGATCTCTTCGTATACTTGCTTAGCTTGAGAAACTCATTTTCATACTCAAGTACGATCATGTCACCCTAAGTTAGATATAGAAACTGATCGTGTGAATCATCAATGTGGGCATCTTTGATGTATTTATCATGTAACAGACAGAAAGTACTCCCAGGTGGGTCTCTCTGGCTCCATCGCCAGCTCTATGGTCTTTCACCGATTAATCGCGTCACCCTTCAGAAGGGTGGTGACTCACTCCAACTTGCCCTCGAAAGTGAAGTGCAACTGACAAAGGGTACGAAGTGTCTACCGAAGCCACTGGTGTATAGAGACGGGTTCATCATCCCTAGATCCATAGAATTCGACCATCATATACCTACGAAGCCTCTCAAAAGAGGACTCCTGGGGCACCATTATGGATCCATGGATTACGTTGTTACATAGGATCACTAAAATGATTAACCCAAAAATTTCTTTTCAAAATAATTTATACTTATCAAAATCATCCATTATATCATAATCGAAATCGAATTAAGGTTTACAAAAATGTGAGAATCTCCTAAATACGTACAAATATGACCAAAGTGTTTAAAACAGAATATAGTTATGACTAGAATAATACAAAGTCCATATAAAATACATGCTCTCTAAATCTACTCAAGACATACTCTGTAAATTGTTTGGTTTGGAATGTACTGATGCAATAGGCTCCTCAAATATCCCCAACTAACCTGCACATAGAAACACATTTCATACGCTGAGCTCACAAACTCAGTGCCACAAAATAACTATACAATACTACATGCATTTATTACATGAACATGCTGGTGTGCAAGTCATAAACATGCAAAAACACATAAAAAATATGAGATAAGACAAGTGTTGTGGTCGGAGGAATTTACGTTTATCTCGGATAACACACTAGCCTATATAGAACATGATAGCTTCGGGGTAAGAACCGAAACTTACGTGTATCAGAACTTATATCTCTTATTCTACCTCAGATCCTCGAGATGTAAGGGTGAGGGCTGAAATTTAGGTGCATCAGAAGCTCACATCCTGAGCCTAGTCGAACATAAGGTATAATTCTAAAATTTACGTACATCAAAATTTATATCGGTACGACCCAAAATTTATGTGCATCAGATGCGTACCAATAGACAATGTCTGGATATTTACAAAGAAAGAACGATTGTTATAATACTAGAGTAACTCAGGTGTCCTAGCCATTTCTCGAGCATCATACAAAGGCCAATCTTATGTCATCCTATCTTGCTTAATTTCCTGGTGAGAAATTAGTTAACTTGATTGTTTTCACTTGTAATGAATACTTATAGCTTATACGAACTTAAAACACCCAAACCGACTGAACTAAAATTGCCAAAAATATCGATGGTATCGATAATGAACCAACATTATTGGTACTGACCCTGGGGTATGAATACTCAAGTGAGTATTGATACCAAAATTTGCTTTGATGTTTTGAAAAATACCTTTGGTATCGATACTTGTATGAGTATCAATACCAAATTTGGCTTTGATAACCTCAGTATCGATACTGACCCTCTAGGTATCGATACTAGACCCCCAATATCGATATTCTTTAAATGGGTATCGATACTCACCTTACAAGTAGCCTTATTTTGGCATTTCATGAAGAACAATATCTGTAATTATTCTTCGAGTACCGATACTGACAATCAGAAGTGATCTGTTTTGAGCACAAATTCACACCCAAAACTCATTCATTTACTCCTCTAAGACTAGTAAACGTTTTTAAAATATTTTTAGTGTCTTAGAGGACAAATGTGTCATCTTTCATGCTTACAAACTTCAAATACGAAATTTACCATGGATTACTCTAGCATGCTTTCATGAACCAAACAAACCATATATGCACATACAATAACCTACATATGGTATGGTCAAATTAGAATCGTGTTACCTTGATTCTAGCTTATTGAAAAAAATCCCCAAATCACCCAAATACTACCTTTTCCTTGCCTCTAGCTTTTGAGTTCTCCCCTCTTGCACTAATCAAAACAAGTTTAACGAGTTGCCACCCTATTTTAAGCCTTGTAAAGAAGCTAAAAATATTTCCCTATCACTCAAATCCCCATAACTAGCTTGAACTGAAAGTTTCATAAACCCCCACCAAAACCCATTTTTGTGTGACTAAGCCAAATCTTGCAAGAGTGGGGTTGAATGGAAGCTTTGGAGTCATAGATTGTGGATCTTACTTTATAATTCACAAGGGATACTTGGATTTCTTAAAGCTTCAACCTTTAACTTGAGTTGGAAGGAAATGAGAGTGAAGGAGAAGAGAGAAAGAAGGCAAACTATTGGATGAAAAAGAGGAGATTCATCATTTCTTCCAAAATTTAGGATAATTACTCCCCTAGTCCTTCTACATTTGGGTTCAGATTAAAAACACCCTTTTTATGGCTTGTTGAGCTTATTTATGGCATAAATCAAATTCATTTGGGTCCAAAGCTTAATATACTAAGGGAAATTTATTCTAAAGCCCAATAGAATAAACTCTCCTAACCTATATTTCGGGCCGTTACAAAACATTAACATCAATATCTATAGTTTCTTAAACTATATTCGAAAATTTTGAAGATCCAACACCAATTGGTTCTTCATTTTTTGTTTCTTCCTTTTGAGGAGCTCGAGCAATCCATAGATTACTTAATTTCCTCCTAGGCATAATATCTGCATTAAACAAATAACAATATTAGTAACTAGCTACAAGAATACTATTAACAGATATATTATAAATTAACCAATTAAGATATAAAAACTTACTATATTGTTATGTCATATCAATTTTCATAGATATATCCATCCATGTCATCCCAAACTCATTGGAATCGTGAAATAGTACTAGTGATAGTTTAATTTTTTTTTTTGCGACAAAAGGAAAAGTTTCTGATCTTGTTTAAATGTCATCTCTACTTCCGTCCCTGATGTATATCAAGGCTCTGGGTATTATGGAGTATAATACACCAACCATCATCCATTGGATCGTAGCAATAAAAAACTTGTTTGACCTGAGAAGAAAATACATATGGCTCGTCCATCAATTGTAGACCAGTGTGAATTAATAGAGAGAAGTTCACCATTGTAAAACCTAATTGATCTCTTTTAATGCCTTGAGTAGTAGTTACATCACCCTAATCACACCGAAATGACACAACATTTCATTTGCCATAATAATCCAACTCAAGAATGTCTATAAGGATTCCATAATATTCTACATCTCCTTCCACAGGGTGATTATCTCTAGCACTAGCATAACTTGTAGTTAAAGAAGTAACAACTACTTCACAATTTTGTGTCCTCCGTAATCTTTCACGAGATTTCATGTGGAACATGATCCCATTAATGAAGAAGACATTATATTTTTTAACAATTCTATTTAGACCTTGAGAAAGCGATTTAACATCTTCATTAAATACCCTCCCACTCCAAACCTATTTCGCGTGAAAAGTGAATTAATTAACATTTATATTTATTGCAGCGCTTTAACACAAACGCTGCTAAATTTGATATTTAGTGGCATTGCTTATACAAATGCTGCGATATGAACAATCTCAGTGGCATTGTGTTTTAAACACCACTAAAAACGTCGTTATAGACCCATTCTATTGTAGTGTATGATTTTGAGAAATTTAAAAGTTTAGATACTAAAACAGATCAAAATCGATAATCCAAGTACTAAACACGTAAATTACGTAAAAACAATTATTTCATTATTATTAAGAAATTAACAAATAGACAAGGTGACGATTAATTAAATTAATATAAAAATAAACTAATATAATACTAAAAAATCATCACTTTACCACGAATAACCGCTTTAACTCTCAACGTTTTATCCTCGGCCACTTTAAATTAGCTTCCTAATTTTCGGGTCAATTACTTTTTAAACTTCAAGGTCTTGTAAGTGGTAACCCTAATGAGATTTGATTTGGCATTGCACAATTAAAACATTCAAAAGGCAAAGTCGATTAAAACAGAATGGGATGCGATTTGCAAAGGTAAACGTAAGCCACGAATGTATTATTCACTAACGTGGACCACATCATTCGGTTCCCAGCCAACCATTGACAACATACGCCAAATATATTATTCACGGTTCCCTTTCAATTGAAACCTCTCGAAGGTTCTCCAAAGTCCCATCCTTTTGCTTTCTATGCCTTCCACGCCTTTTTTTTCTCCCTTGCAGAAATTAATGTTGATTCGCATGCCTATAAATCGAAGAAAAATATAATCTCTCAACTGCCGAACCCTCCTCTTTTGCCAAACCCAAAAACGAAACCACCTGCGTGTGTCTTGTTATTGTATTCCCCTGTTTTCGACAGTTTCATCGGTGGTGGTGAAGATGTCGAAAGCTGGAACTTGCTATTATTCAGTGTTGGGAGTTTGTAAACAAGCTTCTGCTTATGAAATTCGTGACGCTTATCGCAGGCAGGCTTTGGTACTATAATTTTCTTAATCCCTTGTTTAAACTTCTCTTTATTCTTAATGTAAGCTAATGGGTTCTCTTTCGTTTGTAATTTGTTCATGGCTTTTGAAAGAAATGGCATCCCGACAGATGGATGAAGAACCCCAAAGCATCTGGAGAAGCTAAACAACGATTCCAATGTATTCAAGAGGCATACTCGGTTTTGTCTGATAAAGGAAAGAGAGAGATTTATGATGCTGGGTTGTTGGGTCTAATTACGGACGATGACGATGAAGTGAGTCGTTTTTCATTTAGAATTCCCTGTCAAATCATTATATACATTACTGAATCATCAATCATGGTGTTTTTTTCTTCGTCATGGAAACAGGGATTTGTTAATTTCATGCAGGAAATGGTTTTGATGATGCAAAATGTTAGCTCGAAGGTAACCCATCTTTATGTCTAGAAACTGAAACCATTCACTTCTTTGATTTGGTGGTTGAAAGGTTTCCTGAAAATTTATGGGGTTTTTGTTTTATGTTTTGCAGGAAGGATACAGTCTCGAGGATCTTCAAGGATCGTTAATGGACATGATGGCAGAGGATGACAGACGTAAATTTGGCTTTGACTGGGATTCTGGTGCTAAGAAGAGAGCACGATTTTGCTGATGCCCTGCTGTTCTACTGTTTTTTATTGGCAAACTAAGGTCTTTGTTCTTGGGTGCAATTCAAACAAGGCAATAATGTTCCAAGATGGCATGAAAAGTTTAAAAGTAACAATTAACCTTTATTTCCTCTGTAAAATTTAGAATGTTAGGATTCAGGTAAACTTAAATATATATTAATTCTGAATTTATTAACGGTTTTAATGGTAAGAGTAAATGTTATTTTTTCCCTCAAAAGACTCATATTTGAACAATATTTGTAAGGTGTTAGTACAATTTGAATGATTACGAAATATTTTCTACATACATAATAATTTAAACTTAAATCTACTTGAATGGTATCAAACTGCTTATTATTTCAATCAACCTCGGTGATAATAAAAACCCATTCTTTAAATTTTAAATATAGTGAATTTATTAAATTATTTTACTGATAAAAAAAATTATTTTGGTTAAAGGTTATGAGTTCGCGTAGTTACGTCTTTAAGGTATATCAACAAGATATATATATTATTAATATCTAAAAAGTATTTTAAACAAATACTCCATAATATCTATCTAATATTATTACAAAAATAAATTTGGCTTTAAATAAAAGGGTAAATTATACATTTAGTAATTAAACTATCAATTTTGATATATTTTAGTATCTAAACTTTTAATTTTTTTAAAATTATATCTAAAGTTTATTTTTGTTTCATTTTAGTACACATGTTCAAAATTTAATGTTAAGTTTTGAAAAATTAAAAGTTTATGTACTAACGGACTAAAATTGATAGTTTAGGTACTAAGTGTGTTAATTTTTTAACGGTATAGTACTAAAATGAAACAAAAACTAAAATTTAGGTATAATTTTACAAAATTAAAAATTTAGGTACTAAAACGAATCAAAACTGATAATTTAATTACTAAATATAAAGTTTACCCAAAATAAAATCTAACCTAGGGCCGCACGTGTAACATCTCCAATTTGAATTCGTGCGTCGGCTTCCATTGTCCGTGAAGCCTTTTCCCTCCACTTTGTTAATCATTTTCCACCTCGCACTTTTTTATTTTATTGAGTAAATTACGCGTTTTTGTATTTAAATTATTAATTTTAGTTTGTTTTAATATTTAATTTTTTATTTTTTAAAATTATACTTAAAATTTAGTATTTGTTTCGTTTTAATATCTCCATTCAAAATTTAACGTTATTTTTTATTTAAGTATAAAATGGACCAAAACTAATATAGTTTACGTACTAAACGAGTTAAGTTTTTAATACCGTGGTACTAAAATGAAACAAAAATTCTACATTAGTTATGATATTGAAAAAATTAAAAGATTAGGCAATAAAACGGACCAAAATTGATAGTTAGGTACTAAATGTATAGTTTACCCTATTTTATTTTGGTTTAATACAAAAATAAGTATTTAAACTATGACTAAAAATGTTTTAGTTCTTGAAATTTTCACTAAAAATAAGTGTGTAAAATTTTATCCGTTACAGTTTTAGGTGCCTAACGATATATTTTTAATTTTTAATAATAAAAATATTATATTTTTTCAAGAAAAGAAAAAATTTTAAAAAATAAAACCCCCTTCCCCCTCTTCATCCCACTCCCTCCCGTCGCCCCACCTCTGACAGCGAACGGTCACTATAGGTCGGGTTTTGTTCGAAACACGACGAGGAACACAACGGTGGCAGACATGTAATGTATGAACGGTTGTAGGAGTCGAAATCGCCGTAAAACTTAAATGGAAAACCTAAAAATCCGACGACGCTTCGTGACATTTTTCACGACAATTGACGTAGTTTCACGATGGATGAGAGACTGGATTTTGGTCGCGACGGCGAGACGGTTTTGATGGTATCAATAGTGACGGTCACGGCTGACGGTGGCCGACCGGTAACAAAAAAATGTAAAATTTGAATTTTTTTTAATTATAATATTTATTTTTTAAAAAATAATTTTTAAAATTTGTATGCGTGAGAGTTAGCGTTGTTTTCTAATAATGCAACTTGCGGTTTTTGTAGGAAAATAAAAAACTTGTAATGGAATCTCATCTGTCAAGATATAACTGATCCAATGAAGTTTCGCAACATACTTGACTTTTCTTCTTGGTTTTTTTGTCAGATTTAGCGCTGTTGTTTTCACATAATGGAGACTTGCGGTTGTATTGACTCACAGTGGCCACATGAAGAATTGCTTGTTAAATATCAGTACATATCAGATGTTTTAATCGCCCAGCCCTTGCATATTTCTGAATTCCCCTGGAGCTTATTTATTTTGTTATCGTGTTCTTCCCGTACCGATGGGTGCTTATGCAATTTGGTGTTTTTATCATTCTTTGCGGGGCAACACACTCCATAAACCTGTGGATATTCACTATGCACTCGAAAGTCGTTGCTATGGTGATGACAATTGCCAAGGTCGCATGTGCTATTGTATCGTGTGCAACTGCTTTGATGCTTGTACACATTATTCCCGACCTGTTGATCTTTAAAACTCGGAGCTATATCCGAGGAACAAAGCCGAAGAGCTTGACAGAGAAAGAGGCTTATTCTAACTCAAGAAGAAACTGGAAGGCATGCAAGGATGCTAATTCATGAAACTAGAAGCACACTCGACAGGCACACGATACTGATGACTACCCTTGTTGAATTGGGTAGGACCTTGGGCCTGGAGGATGGATGCCATCAAGGTCTGGTATATATCTGCAACTTTCACATACACTAAATTACCAAATACAAGTTGGATCCACCGTGCCAATAAATCTTCCCATTATCAATGAAGTCTTCAATAGTGCTCGAGCAGTTCGTATACTATATCTGCCCACTGGCCAGGATCAGGCCTCTAGCCGTCTTTTGGTTGGGCTCGAATTGGGATTCGACTTGAATTGATTGGGTTAGAGTCGCCACCGATCATTTTAAAACGATATTTAGGTAGATCAGATACCATCTTACCTGATCTGCGTTTTACCATAAATGTGTCGGGTTCGGGAGTTGGTTACAATCAAGGATGGATTAGCACCCTTGAACCGCCCTTTCGGTACCAATTAATTTGCCGGTTGTCTTTAATTGCGAAAATTAAAATTTAAAAATTCGATTCGAATTGCTTACCCTTGATCTATTGAAATTACTACTAAAAAAATATGTTAGATAAAATAAAAAAAAAAAAAAAAAATAAAAATAAATATAAATAAAAAAAGAAAGGAAAAATATTAGTATAATAATAATAATAAAATTAAAGAAAATGGATAAATAAAGATATAAAAAATAATAAAAAATAATAACAATAAGAAACGAAGGAAAATAAAAAATAAAAGAGAAAATAAAAAATAAAAAAAAATAAAATAAATTAAAAATTAAATAAAACATAAAAAATAACAACAGGTTAAATTCTAAAAAAAGGTTAAATTTTATAGAAAAAATAAAATAAATAAACGAAAATGAAAAAAAAAGTGAAAAAGAAGAAAAAAAGAAATGTGGAGGACTTGATGATAATTAAAATAAATGTAAAATAGTGACTAAAATGATATATTTTCAAATTGTCAAAACCCAAATTGAAATACCCACAAAATACACAAAACACTAAATCAGTGACCAAAATAAAAGATTTAAAAATATCGTGGTCGAAATCAGGCATTCACATTAATAACAAAATGAGCAGGAACAGGACTAAAATATAAATAAAGAAAAAACAGGTTCGAAATAGAAATATACCATCTTCATTAAGTGACCAGAATGAAACTTATACAAAGTAAGGGCCCTTTCTACATGATTTACCCATGAGCCGAACCGAGAGTTGCCTTAGGTTATTTAAACGATGTCGTTTTGGGGGGTTTAAATACCCCATTTCATACGATTTCAGCTAGAACTCCCCCCATTTCTCAATCCAACCGTTATCTAGCTCTTTAATGGGGTTTAATTATAAATTATCTTCGGTTACCAGTGACCTTAGTAGTGCAATTCAAGAGATCGGTTCCTTGAATGTTAGGAGCAGCCTTGCTTCTTCAATTGAGTATTGAAGTTCCATAAACCAAGATTTACATTGGAAGTTGCAACAACAAAGATTGGTTATGTTTTTCGGTGGAGAGATCCAAAACGAAAACAACGCTACTACTTCTTCCGTTATAGTTGAGATCTGCCAAACAGAAAAGCTTCAACCCATTTTGTTCCAGAATCTGGAGATTTCAAAACCTTCGAGGTCGGAATATGGTTGCATGTGGGTATGTTCCATCCTCCGTATTTCGTATCAAATTTCTAAGTAAAAAAACGTCCCCTTTGTGTTTGATTTACACATGATTTATAGTGCTTAGGTACCCTATTTTTGGATGTTTGAATCCGAGTAAAACACTAATATTTGTGTTTGTTGGTGATGGTCTCGTGAGATCCTTGCGCTGGACGATTCGGGATTGAGGCGTGTAGCCGTGAAGAACGGAGGTGGGTTGTTGCGACACGATGCTTATGAGAAAAGATGGAAGTTAGGGTTGCTGATGTGGGCCATTGGGACTTGTTTGCATTTGGTCTTTGGGCATGTAACAATGAATACAAATTAGTAGTTAAACTATAATATATAATATGCATATATATAAGACACACACACTATATAATATAAATAACAACACATCAGGTAACATGTAAATGTCGCGTGATCGGACGAAAATATGTGTCGACAGCTGCCCCTTTTGTCCTTTTTCGTGGAACGAAGAATAGGACAAAGATAAAAAGACACAAATTTTCGTTTGGTGGAGTTAAAAATATGAAAATTGATTCTGAAAGAATAACTCCCTGTCAAATTGAGTTGCGGATGACTCATCCGTCGCGAAGTCGAGTCCATCTTGAAGTGACATGGAATTGAAGTCGTAATTCGGAATTTGAATCAAAATATGGCTTCTTGTTGCCAAATTGTATTCAAATTCGGTCTTCTTCTCGATTTAAAGACCTTGGTTTAAACATTCGACTGGAAAATAATTCTTTGATTCCACCATGTGGTTGATAGGCCTTCGAGCTGAATAAAATCGATCTCGAAAGCTTTTGTTGACAAATAGCTTTTCTCTACTTAAGCTCTGTTGTCGGAAAACGGTTTCTTCTCACTAAGACACGGCTAACCCATGTATTCTTTTCGACTTGAAAACCTCGACTGCAATCGAACAGTAGTGTGATTGATGTGTCATCTAGTTGAATGAAATCAAACTCGACAAT